CTCCTTCTCCTTCTGTCTGTAGAAAAGATGCCCAATGTCATATTTGCCCTGACCCAACACGGAGGCCACCTGGGTTTCTTTGAGGGAGCCGTTCTGTTCCCTCAGCCCCTCACCTGGATGGACAAGGTCATAGTCGAGTACACAAACGCCATCTGCCACTGGGAGAAGGACTGGCCGGCCTGCCAGAGGAGCAGCCAACAGCACATGAACTCCTACCTGCAGGGCACAGGGGTAACACTTAATGGGTAATATAGAGAGTTATCTGGAGACAAAACAATAGACCAAACAAAAAACGCACATCCCTAGCTTTCTGTACTAATGGCCCTACAGTTTCATAAGTAATTCTGGAAAATATAGGAAATCAGGATCAGAAAGGTGAGGCTGAGTGGAAGTACACCAAGTTGTAAACTGAAACTCACAGAAGATAATTATACTGGAAAATGTAATATGACCCCATGGTGAATTTGTACTTCCTCTTGTTCTCAGTTAACCTCCAGTATAACACGTGTTCACCCTCTGCTGGTTTTTGGCAGCTGCTGCTTCTTAAGTCTGGACTGATACAGCAGGGTGACCTTTGACCTGCATGTCGAAAGAAAGAAAAGTGTATTTTTCTACATGAATTACTACCGAAAACTTTTCTAGATACTCAAATATTAACAATCCTGTTTACATACAAATTAGACTTTTAGTATAAATTAAGAAGTGTGAAGGACACATTGTCTAAAGCCTTGAAACCTTAACCATAATAAACTTTAAAATATACCTGGGGACCCACATCAGTTATATTTTGAAGCACATAGAATTGAACTTAAAGTTCACAAGCAGATTTAAGCACCTTAATATTAATGTGAATCTGCGATAGATTTGGTTTCTGGCATCTCCAGAACCATTAAGCTACCTCTGTAAGACTTATGGTTTACAGTGATGATTTCAGCTGTTGTTAAGGCTCAACATAACGTCTGTCCTGTTCAGTCAAACTGTGTCTAATTTCTTTAATATGATACAATAGGATCTTGTTTGTTTCTATTAAGAGACTTTTGCTGTTTTATTGCAAAATATGTTCAATAACAGCAGTTTGGTTTATATATGTATTGAGGCATCATTTTGCTCATTGTGACACCGATCTCCAGTTTTACACTTTGCATTTCCATTGTGTGCGGTGGACCATCAGCCTGCATTGTTGCTGCTGACCTTTAAAATAAATATCAGGGTGTTGGGTTTTTAAAAGGGTTTAAGGGTTAAAAAAAACACAGACAAGTGGTTATCTTTGATTTAGTGATTTTCTGCCAGTGCTTTATGTGTTGTTGAATGGATATATGGACAGTTCATACAAACTAGCCTTAACATTGTACGCCACGCATTGTCCTTTTCCAGGTCAGCTTGTCCTTTGCGATTGTATGAATTGTACCTTTTAAAACCAGCATGGAACAGCTGTTAGATGCATCCTGCCATAGCATGAGGATGGTCAGGCGGTTTCATTTTTATTACTGCTGCTCTGATTATTACCACAGAAATTTTACAATTCAGGACACAAGATACAGAAAAACATATCTGACTGAGGGGCTGTTCGGGACAGAGCTGCGCCAAACTGTGTTTACAAACACTTTCAGCAGAAAGGAGAGAGAAATGTGCAAATGGACCCAACAGTGTATTAAATAAGAAATCCAATTATGCACACAGTTTATGCACTTACCAAACAAATGGACCAAATCTTATTTTACTTTTCAATAAAATAAAATTGAAAAGTAGCTCAACTTTGTACTTTTTAATGATTCTGCTGCATTCTCGCCATGTGACCTAAAAATGCACATGGCTCAAATACAGTGAACATCTCATATTAGACATTACTTTGGACTAATTAAGTCACCATCGTTTTCGGGGGTTTGCTTTAAGCTGCTTATTGGTACATACAGAACGGGTGGAGTTTGCCACACGTAATAAATAAATACAGTGCACAGAGGAGTAAAGACAGTGACATTTTTTTTGTTACATTAAAACGCAGAAAACATTAAAACTATCACACAAACCTTGCCTCTGTTGTGTCTCATCTCATGATACAGCATATTTCCATGAGGAATGTACTGATGAAGGTCTCAAACATTGACTAAATAAGAGGTAAAGTTTATGTGAAGCAGTTGTTTTTGTTTTCTGTGGTTTATTCTGGGCCTTTTTTCATGACTATTTTGAGAAGTGCCTATGGTGGGAATGTTTGATATTAAACAGCGTTCCCTGACCATGCTTATTACATTAACATTTTAATCATTAGATTTAATGCAACTTTAATTCTATATCTGCCCTTTGAAAGCCGAATACAATTTTCAACAGCGCCATTGCTGTCTGTCTGTGCAATATGTCCTGACTGTTTGAGGTATGGAATGCTTTGCCTGCACTTTACTGTCTTTACAGTTCCTTTTGTTCTGTATGGCACTGTGGTATGTACTGTATCAGCTTATGGGTGTAACATTTATAATCTAAAGAAATGTGTTTTTTTCTGATGTGGTGCACAGCCATGACTGATTAGTCATATTTTAACTCACCGATTAATAAATATTTTTCACATAGATTTTGTTTTTGTCTGTTTATTGTAACCTATTCTAGATGTTCCTTTTCTAGCCATGCTCTTGGCACAGCAATGTCAGTCAGACCACCACTTTATTAAATCTCTGGAACTCTCAAGAGCTATTGGATTGTCTGCATCGAATTTTGTTCAGACATTCACGGCCCCCAGACAACCAGTTTCCAGTTGGCTCTTATTTAAAGTCCTGAGGCTGATATGTGGCTTTGAGTGACTGTTGGGCAATTAAATTTGGTGTACACATTCATGTTTCCCTCAGAATGAATTGTAATAACTTTGGTTATAATTAACTTTTCATCCAGTGCCCTCAACAGGTCCAAAACATTCCTATCAGCCTCAGTTGTAGTTTAAGTTTAGTGCTAAATAGCAAAAGTTAGCATGCTAACTCGCTTAACATCAGCATGTTAGCTCAAAGCACCCTGTGCAGCCTCACGGAGCTGCTAGTGTGGCAAATGACTCGTTTAGTAGGAAATTGATGCAAACACTACAACTTATATTTATATACAGTTTATTGTACATTTATTGACATTCTTATTGGTGCACCAGGTAGCACAGTGGGTTAAACTTAATAATATTCATATTGAAGAACAATCTAAAAAATACATGAGAGACAGGCACTTGTTGGAATATCAGCCTTGTACTTCAGGGAGAGACGGGGACCAGAGGGTGGAGACTGAGAAAGCTGGGACCTGCCCATGTTAAAACAAGCTGTGTGGATGAGCTAGGATCTAAACAAAGCACAACTTTACAGAGGTGGGAGACAAAAAATCTGTTAACATGACTTAATGTGGGTGTTTTGAATGATTATCTGATACATTTTTCCTTCATAAAATTAAGAGACTTAATTGTATCTGAATGATCAAAGAATAATACTTAACAGTAATTATTTTAGAAATTCATTCATCTGGGTTCGGCATGAAAATCAACTTGCAATACACTTTTCCTTATTGGCTTTCAGTAAGCTATAAGGTCTGTTTGTGAATCAGTAAAAAAAACAGACATTGAAAATAATATTGTGAATTTGGTGTATTTGTGTAATAAAAGGATGAATATCAGCTTCTTTGAACACACCAACAAGGAAGCATCAAAACAGCTCCTGCCTAAATGTTCATTGTGAGGAATTGCCTCTTTCAAGCCAGTCCTGCCTCGCTCCTGTTATACTGTGCTTTGTCAGGACCTCTGGAAAACAACATAACTCACACACTCATGACTTTCATTCTTATATTTCTTCCTACAGCCACACAGCTAAATTGGGCTTTGAGTCTCCACAGTCTGTGGGGTTTGTAATATATAATCGCAACCGCCTGGTTGGCATGAAGCGAGGGAGGACGCTTAGTCGAACAGCTTGGTTGCTGTGGCCTTGCCGTCATACTTGGAACCTTTTCCATCGAACTCAGAGGGAAGGATGTCAGCGTCAAACTCCTTGTAGTAGTTTTCCAGCTCGTCTCCGTGGACAAACACCTAGAGCAAGAACAGCAGCTGTTAGAGGCGTTTGTGGCACTGTGGGTATTCTTAGCACCTGACAATACAACATGTAAATAAGTGTAAATTTAATTGCCGGAGGTGAGAATTATTCATAAATTCAAAGCAACAGAAAATAGAAAAATAGATAAAACATTAAATGCTTTAAAAAATGCATGAAGTTGACTGTAAAGTGTTATTTTATTATGGGTATTTTAGTATTATTAGAGTCAGCTTCCAGCACTCTCTGCTAATCAGAAGAAACCAGTCCCAGGCCTCCAGTAAGCTCCACCAATAAGAAGCACAGCTACATGATATATTTTAAACCAGCACATTATTTAAAAAAATGAAACATACAAACATAAATCTTCTGTCTAACTCACCCTCTCTAGCAGCTTGCCCTTCATGAGTGGTTTGACCACATTGTAGGTGGTGGTGAAGTACCAGGGCTGGTGGATGAAGTGCACAGCTTTGAAACGGGCAGGGAATGAATCCTGGCAGAAAAGAAAAAGTCAGATGGTTTGGTTATACAGCTTTCAATAAAACTGAAGAGTCCTGCAGTCCTAGGTGTCCATTATTAAAAATGGGGTATAACAACTTGCCAGCCAGCAATCTGCCTGTATTCACAGACCAGCCCATGACCTGAGTTTAGGTTTTCCCACCTGCAACATGTCCACCATCTTCTTGAGCTCGGTGGGTTTGATTCCAGACGCCTGCTGCATGGTGAAGCCCTTGAAGTTCTCAATGATGCAGAACCCGTTGATCTGAGTCTCCTCGTTCTCCAGCAGCTTCTCCAGGATCACGCAGTAGGCCCGAAGGATCTGAACACACACGTTTATTTAATTGGAATATTCCAGATATTTGTAATTTGATATTTGATTTTGTACCCATTTAATTTAATAAGCTTTTCAGGTGAATTGTGGGATATGTGGCCACCCAGAACCACTCACTTACCTCATCAAAGGTGATCTCCTCGTAGTCCCAGTTCTCGATGTTGAAGAGCAGAACCACACGGCCGTATTTGTCTCTGCTCGGCAGGATGCCGGGGTAGCCAGCCTCGATGGTGCTGCGTACGGCCTCTGGGGTCAGATTCTCAAATAGCTCGGGGTAATCCTTCCTGAAACGCACGTAGCCTGGGTGGAAACACAGGAACACAGATTCTAGGCTCACACCATGCTGTACAGTCTGGCAACTGGAATCATAGTTGTTCAATAACACTTGAGTCATGAACTCATGAACTTTACTTCATGTCATACTTCAGGTTGGGTCCATCAACATATAGTCGATGGTTGGGTCACACTGTTCTTAGAAGCTGATAATGCACCTAAAACTATTTAGTCAGTCTGGGTTTTAGTGTCCCATGTTGATCTAAATTCACCCTGACAAGGACAAATCGGTGGTGGAAGCAATAAATCACTGTAAATGTGTAGCATGGAAATGATCAGTTGTAATTTTGACACATTATTTTGTCAATGCAAATATAAATTCATTAGGGATCAGTCACTTGAAGTGTTTTTTCTTGTTAAATTATCAATTGTTAAAGAACATTTATCTGTCCATCATTATATATAATCCCAGACACCAGACTTATATTGTACATACAGATAACATGTTCAATATTGCTTTCTTTTATGGATTCATGATCTAATTAAGAGTTTGGGATTTTTTTAGCTGGAAGAAGAAAAGAGTATATTTAGGTTTGCCACTTCATACTGTTCAGTCTCCTGACATACCCTTCATAAGCTCAAAGGCTCTGGGCACATCAAACTTCCTGGCGCGGATGAAGCGGACCAGCATACTGTCTGGTTTATCCCCAAACGTGTCCTGCACGCCTTTGGCCAGGTCATCGCCTCCATCTGCCTTCTCCTTAATCATTCCTCGCAGCTCCTTCACTGCTGCCACCCGCTTCTCATCTGTCTCATTCAGCTCGTCCTTGGCCTGTAGGGGGAGCCAGACAAGACCGTTAGCTCACATTTTGGACAGTTTTGGTTTTATACGGATCAGAGACATACTGTGAAGAAGTAAATGAAAACACATGTTTATTAATGTTGCCAGTGAATGATGGGTTGTATGAATGTGCAGGGAGAGTTGCAAAGCATGGATCACTGTCTAACAGGTTAAATGGTTGTAATGCATGCAATGCTAGCTAGCTACCTGGGTAGACTAACCGGCATTTTATCCTCTGATTATGTTTTTAGTGCATTTTTTCAAAGAACATTAATTTAACTATTGTTGCGAAAACATAAGAAAAAGTACTGCAGGTGGGTTGGTACTGTTACTTAACTGGAGCAAAAACTGAAATAAGTAAATCCGCATAGCCAGACTCTCGAATAATAAACTCATCTCTTTCTTAGTAGAGAATGAGATCATAAATCTTACCTTAATTTCTGTCTTTATTCTATAGTTATATGTAATTTAATTAGATTAGATTACATTCAACTTTATTGTTATTTTACAATTACTGGGACAACAAAATGCAGTATAGCATCTGTAGTGCAAAGAAGTAAAGTGCAGAGTAATATGCAATATACAGAATAAACATTAAGAAGTAGATCTGAATATACTAAGATATAGGCTATACATTATGAACAGTATTAATAGTATGAACAGTGTGAAATGAATAACCTAAGACTACAGAGATATACCGTAATACAGTGATTAAACGTAACTATATTTTGTGTCTAAATTTATCGGATTTGCTAATGTGAGAACACATCTGACTACCTTCTGCTTGGTGTGGTCTGGCAGACTCGCGCAGGGTCCAAACACTGGCCCATGGTCCTTGACAGTGAGACGTTCCAGCTTGGCTCTGAGAGCCTGCTCCTCCTCCGACACCATACGGTAAGTTCCACTCTGAAAAGAGAGGGTTCAGTATTACTTATGGGGCGCAAACACAAAAACAAATACAAAGTACAGTTTGGCTGAGCACAGGTCAAGTGTTACAGGTCAGTCATTTAATGATAGTGATAGATCAGCGGTGTGTTCTAGTACCGGACACCGGCTACATGAATATTAGCTACACTCTTCACTTGAGTTTGACAGGTCATAATGGGTGTAATAGGTGTCTTTAAAAAGCAGTATTTCTAGAGTAAATTTTCTTTTGATTGTAGTGGATTCAATTGAGAATGTATTCAATTCCATTGAGAAACTTAAATTATATGGATAAAAGTGAATGTGGTACATATTTCTCTCAGGGATGCCATTGATTACCTTGCAGCTAAGCTCACATTCTGTAGCTCTGGGTAAATATAGTACATCCTATTTATGCACTAGCTGATATTACAGATATTACAGTTTTAACATGTTAACCGAGCTTTTAGGCTACAAGGCCTGGATATCCTAACCAAAATTGTTTTACTAGTGTCTATTCAATATGTACTTCATTTTTGGTTCCAATACTTGTGTACAAAATAAAAAATGTTTGTACCAAAACCTTTTTACCTACAAATCGTAATTCGATCGTAATTTGATACCAAAAAAGTTCCTTTCCACAGCGGACAGTTGGTCGTAGCAGGAGAAGCACAGGTGTTATTGATGACATTAGTAATGGATGCATTACATTTAGCTGTGCCAGTTCCAGGCCTCTGGTATCGTGGATACTCACTTACTGGCAATGGCTTTGTGGCAGTAAATGCCTTACTGTGTCGATATAATTCTCTCACAAGACCTGGTTGTAATGTGTGAGGTTTAAAACATGTCTAATCCACATTAGACAAAATGTCTGTCCACCAGTGCTGCAGGAACATAATCAATAGGCCTCAGTGTTTGATTAATCTCCCTCACGGGTCTAGTAAAGCCTGTAAATACATGGTAAGGACTGCTAGAAGACCTGAAGCAGGGATCAGAGATTAGCAGCTAAGGCTACTGTAGTTGTTGACGGCATCCGTAACAATGGGCTTTGGTCTTGAGAAATGTTGAGCTGCAGTTGAGTCCATGTTACAGGAAGGTGAATAGATATTTGTCTTGGCAATTGTTTTTTTGTGTGTGTGAGTATTACTCACATTAATCACAGGCCTATTACTCCTTCAACGCCCTATTACAGCTCAGTAATCCATGTAAGATATCAGCATGGTTAACTTTCTTTGGGCAAAATCAGAGCAACGCAGTTTAAAGTAAGTGAAAGTGTAAATACTCACAACAACAGCCATATCTCCTTCTCTTTATATCAGCTTCGTACTATCTGCAACACGAGAGGGAGTTTGTTATTCACATGAATTGCAGTAAAAAAAAAAGAGAAAAAAAAGAAAAACAACTGACACATTGTACTCCACATTAATCCCCTTCACCCCACCCTCTCTGCTATCACAGGGTACCTTGATTCGGCTATATTTAGCACTTGCCCATTCCTGGATGATTTATCAGGAGATTTAAGGTCGAGCGTCTTTTGGTTTCGTAATCTACAGGCTCACATTTGTTGTTCAGATTTAAACTCTTCATCTCTATCATGCCGTTACATTCAGTATTACCATAAATGTTCAGAAGTGCAGGAAAATAAGTTAAGTATACAACAACTTGAACTTTAATGTTCCCTTGAATCCTTACCTTAAATTAAGTAGATTTAAAGACAATATAACTGTTCTCAAAGTGTGCTGTATCATTTGCTGCATCTGCTTTTTCTAATACTAATCAACTAATGGAATGACACAATTTATCTGCAACCATTCTGATAATTGATTACTCATATTTCAAGTAAAAATACAAATACAACCTAGCTCTAGACTCTCAAGATTTGTCGCCATATGTGACAGCAAATTGAATATCTTTGGGTTTTACACATTTGCTCAAACAAAAGAAGCAATTTAAAAATCTTCACTATGGGGCTTTAAGGAATTGAAATTTGAATATTTTCACAATGCTAAACTGGCATATTATAGACCCAAATTATTAACTGAGTAGTTAATAATTAGTTTTCTTGTAGGCAGACAAGAAGTCATTTGGAAGAGGTTTGGAAAGACTAAACACCTGCTGTTCTGTGTCTCTAAAGCATACATATTAAAATCACTGCATCACATTTGAAGGGGACTGAGTATACAGGGCCCTCAAGTGAGGGGGGCCCGCAAAGAGACTAGAATGAATATCTGTGGATGTGGAGAGGGGCCCCTACAGACTTAACTTAATAAATGCCACTCAGACACTTAAGGCCAAAGCTGCAGTACCATAAGCACTTGTATTTTTGGGATTGTTGATTGTTTAATGCAGCTCTGAACCTTGCCCTAGTCTAATAATGCACCTAATGAGCAAGTACAAAATACCTTTGAGTACTCATATCCACTTCATAAAACAATGTCAGTGTCCCCGGTCAAAATCCCTGCTCCATTAACAACAGCTGAACTACAGCGGGACCCAGAAGAGCTGGAGAGTTTGAGAGCTGTACAACATGCAAAGAAGAAAAAAGTGTGAAGTAGCATATCAGTAGAGGAGGCTGAGACCTACCTGAAGAAGATGAGAAGTTGCTTGGCGGGGAGTCACAGGGGTCTGTGTGGAGTGAGGTGGACGGGACCGGTGATTTGTAGTGTTGGGATTAGTGGCGTCACACCGGATTACATCCTTTTTCTTTTCAATCAGCATAAAAGTGGCAGAGGGTGGGAAAGAAGGGGGAGGAGAGGAGGAAGTGATGGTGAGAGTGTTAGGCCAATGGTTGAGGGGCTCCCATGATGAAAGGCAGGTCCAATGCACATTTTGGATGATGTAATGTTCAATATACACTTTAGGTAAAAGGTGATTTGAGGGGTTGGAGGGATTTGATTGCATTCCAAGGAGACTTGGATGTAGTGAAAAGTGACCATTGTGACAACTGATTCCCAGTTTGATTTCAGCAACGTGAGCACACTCGGGTGAGAAGAGAGGAGAGCCTGTATTCAGATGGTCTGTTTCACATGTTTAGAGGCTTGATGTTGAATGGGAGTTCAGCCTGGTTCTAATGTTTCTTATATGAATGTCTTTTTAATTTGTCTTTAACTATTTAAAGTGAAGTGGATTTATTTACTCTGCAATCAAAGGGCTTTATAATATATCCCCTGTCTCTATTTGTGACTAGAATCAATATTCATTACTTAGGCAACCCCAGAAACCGATTAGCAGCAAAATCTAATAAATAAATCAACCAAATTTCAGAGACACCTGCCAAAATCTGTCCAAGGTTTTGAAATATTGTGCTGAAAGAACTACAGGGGCAAAAACATGACCTCATAACAGCCTATTTTATACAATATATACATGTAACAAACTGTGCTTAAACTCTATCAGCTGACGGTGGTTAAAGGTATTAAGTATCAGGGTCATTTTAGTCTACAGTGAGAATAGGTTTTGTTGAGTTGTGCATAATTTGGTCTGTAGCTGCAATCAAGTCCATACAATCTCATATGCAACATGAACGGGCCAGTTACCTTGATAGTTGCGCTGTGTGGAGGGTATGCTATTGCGAGCTTTAGGACCTGAGAGTAAAGGTTTATATAATGTGATCAGTTCTGTCAGCACTTCATCTAATCGGACACGCATGTGCTCGGTCTTCATATCTAATCACAACTGAGTGATGTTGAGTAAAAAATCTCTAGATTTAATCTCAAATAATTGAGCAACAGTGAGGTGCATGAAAACAAATCAACAAAGAGCTACTGCACAGTAAATGAAACAGGATCGTAGTAATTGTTTTGGTTTTTGCTTCGAACCACTGACGATCTGAACATTTTCTCATCATTAGATTAGCATTCATTATTTCTAGAGTAGAATTTTGCACCTACAAACTGTTTCAAACTGTGCATGCATGAGAACCACAAAATACATTTTAGTCCAAAAATGTTGGGCGCCTCCATTAGGCCAAAACAATGGCAGGTTTTTATTGTTGTTTTTTTCATAATTGTTTGCAACAAAGGTCCCCAGCTGGAGACGCCACGTGGCCAGCATCCCAAACACCCAGGTCACCAGAGCAGATTTTTGTAGTTAATAAAACCTAATTACAGTCTAATATCTATAAACTTGTCATATATTCTCAGCCTTGAATGTGAGGCTCTGTTGATGTTTTCCTCTTCCTCTTGACTCTCCAGACAGGTTTCTGTACATCCAACAGGCAATGGACACAGCGCTGCAGCCAGTTTATTTTGTGTGTGATGTTTGGAAGTTGGCCATTTTCCTCTCTGACCCTGGTAGCACTAACGTCACCAACACACGTTTTCCTCCTGATGCAACGATGAAGGAGCAGGCAGCCAACTAGTAATCTGCTAAATCAGGCCTGATCTGCTCAATAAAGCGATTTAGGGAACAAAATTAGATGGATTGGGCAAACAATGCTACTCTCTGTTTTCTCCCTATAGCCTGAGCTGTGGGGCCAAGTTTAGGCTTTAGATGTGTGTGTTTATGAGTTTGAGTGAAAAAGAAAGAAGCTGAGGCACATGGACAAAGCCATTTACAGAGCCATAACAACATGTACAGCTCCACCTGCAGCTCGCTGTGTTTTTATATTTAATTAATGTAAGTTAAATGATGTACTACAATGCAATAATCTAGTGCCATGCTATTTCAGTCACTGGGATTTAACTGGGAATGTTGGAAGAGAAGAAAACCATAACTGTTAAAAGTGAACATGCTGCTTTTGTTTGACTACAAGCCTTCACACTGTAGTGCGCTTTGTTTTGGGTCAATCCGCCTTTACTGCAGTGGGTTTTATAACCCTGTTGGACATGGTGCAATTAGATGATTTCACATTCTGATTCAGTATTTGTGACAGACTCTGACCTGCTGGTCTGGATGATCTCAAAAAAATGTTTCCCAACACCAACAGAGCTGTGGTTTCATCCGTTAATGCTGCTGGTGCCAACAATGCTGCTGTTAATGCTGATCTGGCTCTGGATCAAGTGGGCCGTGACGCCGTAGTTTTTCCTCTGCAATTAGTTAGGGTTAGGGTCACAACAAGCAGCTGTCACACACAAATAGTAGTTTCAGCCTTTATTTTAAAGAGCTATAGCCTCTTTAAACATTGACCAATTTAAAATTATTCCAGGTCCATTCAGGGACAAAAATATACTGTTTTCAAAAAGTGCTCTTCCTGTCAACATTAAGTCCGTCTCTAAGACCTCAGTAATCCTGTTCACCCAGTAAGGAAATCAACCTAAGTACAAACTATTTTGTTCTTTATACAAAAGAATGAAGCTCTGAGACAAGTAGAGAATTTCCGGTACTGACGGGTACATTATAAGAGCTCTCGGAGACACTATGGCATAAACTGTAACTCGAGTTGCGTACATCAGCAAAATGATGTTGAAGCAGAGCCCAAGACATAGAAGAGGCACAACAATAAATAAATAAGTAATATAATAGTAAATAATGTTTGTTTTCACATTCACTCATTGAAAGCAAACAAAGTGATAGTATTTCATTTTAACATGATGCCATTTTATTAGGACAATTAAGAGCAGCTTACAATGAGAGGTAATGAAATACCACCATTACAATTCAACAAAGTATAAAACATTTAAGGCCACGTATACGTTGAGCTAACTGCAACAGTTTAAAACTTCTTGCCCCAAGTATAGTGTTTGAAAATGTTTTCCTTTTTGCCTGGTAGATGGTGAAAAACATTTTAAAAGCTGCAACTTATTCCACTTTTGAGTGTGCGCATAGCAGCCACTTGAATGTCCTCATGTGAACAGAGACATTTAAAAATAGAAACTCAACTGAGAAACACAGTTTTCCAAAATAGTTGTATCTGTGGCCTAAGATGTCCCATGTTCCTGTTAATATTTAAATTGTACTTTTCAAGTAAGAGCAGATAGTTAGAGAACTTTAAACTCTGCATAAGTTAACAACCCCCAACTCTAAGAGCATCAATGTCACGCTATAAACATAAAAAGGTCTGTCACAACTCTGCAGACAAATATCTGGTATCACAGCCACAACAATGCTGTTATGAACTCCAACCATGGTTAAATCCAATAAGTTAGTTAAGTGTTTTCAAAATTAAATTATTTTCCCAGTGATACAGTACGTCTTCGAGAGACAACGCAGATACTCTCATCACATTTCCCCCAAAATACAGTTAGTTACTTCTTACATTACTTTTCACTTGACATACTGTCAAGATGTTTTTCATTCACATAATTTATAGTGATCTGAACCCGCTCTATTGTACTGTCCATCGCCACGTAATAGGGGTCTGTTGAGGTATTTCCCGCTACATGCGTCTGTGTCATATATGACTAATACTCCCATGTCATTGGCTGTCAGCTATGACATCATCTGGCCAGTACTCGTCCTGCATGTAATGGTTTGAGGAGGCGAAGCTGGGCTCTTGTGGAGCGTTGTCGTCCCTCAGCTTGTTCTGCAGCTCCTGCTCCCATTCGCCCTCCACCAGCTTGTAGAGGTCGAGGGCGGCCTGAGCGTCCTCCACCGAACAGTGACCTCTCCTCCCCACCTGAGACACGGACAGTGCCGTTAACAATAAATCAAACTGATACTATCACACTGGCAGTGGACACCGATATGACAATATGGACGTTATATTGATAATAAAGTCAAAACTCTCAACCAGTTGTGCGTAGAAGGGAGCTTAAATTCATATGTTACCGTTTAGGATGTCTGAAAATGTTTGAGGTCTCACCTGGATTCTCCTGTTCAGCAGCTTACTGGCCAAGATTTTGAGGGAAGCGCAGCGTTCGCGGGGGAAACCGGCCAATCGGCTGAGGAGGCGCGTTGTACTGGTGTCCCTCACCATGTGACCTGGATGGAGCATGTCCAACACCTCGAAGTCGTTGTAGATGGCGTGACCGACGACTACTTTGCCCTCAAGTACACGGAGGATCTGCGGCCAGTGCAGAAGAGGAGAAAGATAAATTGTGAGCATACTGCGTTAAACTCGAGGGTTCAAACCACTTTAACGTGTACTTAGTGGAGCCTTACGTATGATTTACAATGTAGAGGAAACACAGCAGGTATCTTAAACACTGTATTGATCCTGTAAAATGATTATGTGTCAATAAACCAGCTACGCTTTCACCCAACCTTGGACATGGATACATTTCTATGTTATTGATTACACAACAATATTTCTATCCGTAGATCTCAGATTCTAAAGCAAAGCAGGCCTCACCTCCTCCCTGGCCTGAGCGAAGGGCATGGCGCTGTGCAGGTGATGCCTTCGGATGCCACTCCAGCGAGTCCTGTAGTCTGTGACGGGCTGGGACGGTTGGACGTATTTATCATACAATATGTTGCCGCGATAGTCCAGGATGCTGCAGCGTGCGAGCTCACTGCAGCGCCCGCCAGGCCCCGTGCCCACCATCTCACAGTCCAAAGCCACCACTGTGGTGGAGCACGAGCTGAGGCACGGTGAACTCCGACCGCTGGCCGGGGGACTCGCCTCAGAGGAGAAACCGCTGTCCACCTCCCAGCTGTCTCTGAGGGCGGTTACCAAACCAGAGTGGTCAGAAGCTTTAGGCTCAGACACACAGAGTCCAGGTTTAGATACACCAGTGCTCTTGTTTTCAGAGTTCAGGGTGCTTTGACTTTCCTGGTCTGGGTCACTAAATTTAGTTCTTTTGACCAGTTTATTTGAATTCAACCGTTCGTTGTGGATGTCTGTCATTTTCCTCTTCGTGTTGCCAATGATTATCTTCTGCTGATTTTTCTTCCTGGGTCTCGTGTTCTCCACGACATGAAGCATCATGGCTTTTTTGCACAAATACCGGTAGTTGCTGAGAAGCCCCCACGATGCGGCTTTATTCCTTTTCGACGGCTCTGCCATCGTCAACCGGTGACACCAGCCTTGCAGTCATTTCTGAGAAAATAAAACCAAAAAAAAAATCAGCCGTACAATAATCAGGAAAGACCTTCAGTAGGTGACCACTAGTACTAAAGGCTACACATCTGCTCTGAAAAGCACTGTACCTGTTGTATAACCTTAGTTATTATATCACGGTATGTGGAGAAAGTAAATTACTATCCAGACATTGTCCAATACAACAGACTAAAGGAAAGGTTCTATAACTCTTATTTTACAGCCCACTGAACTTCTCACAGACGTGTCCCTGCAGAAGTGTCACTGACTTTAAGGGGCAGGTGATTGACAGCAACACATTACAACACGCTGAAGCAACAAACAGAGAACACGTTGTTTACTTCATTAAACTAACAGACGAATGGCCTAATCAAATTGTCATTTAATTAAATTAATAATGAAAGCCTGGGAGCTGTCAGAGGGGCATTATTCCGGGATTTTTGGCGTAAGAGACGACAAATGCTTCGACACCAAACTCCATTCAAAATTCCGGCAGTTTAACATTGATGTTTTTTTTGTCGGCATAAAGACTAAGTTACTTAAAGTGTCCAGCTCACACAGTCCGTCTGTTAATTAATTTAAGTATAAAGTGATAAATCTGTGAATCTAGTATCTGTGTGTACAAACTAACACATGCTCGTTCACAGCAAACGTGCCTCCTCAAGCAGGTCGTCCTGTGTCTGAACAGACTATCGTATACAGATCCTACTCTTACACGAAGACGTGCTTAAATAATAACTAAGCCGCATTGAACACTGGTCCTTAAGGATTCAGAGACAGCGGTTTTATGTGTTACATGTAGTGTTTAACTGTGTTTGTAGCCAACACCAACTTTAACTGGCACATATTTGAACGGAGTCTGGCGATGAGTTCTGCGACAGCAACGGACAGACATTTAAGTTAGCTAAAATAGCTGCAATAGTCAGGTGAAATAAGATAATAAACATCGTTCCTCGAAGATAAATATACCAAAGACTAATGCGAGGATAAAAACTTGTTGCCAAAACACACAAAGAGCAACTTAACGTCAAAAAGATGAAATAATGTCTACGTTACCTTCTTATGCAGCACGTGTACGATCTGGACATGCCTGGGCAAGAGGCCTCTGCTCGCGACCTGATTGGCTCTCTCTCTTCTTCGTTGGTTGTTTGTCAGGAAGTGTTCAACTGCCAAATACCTGTAGAGTCGCCGCCTACTGGCTGGAAGCGGTACTGCACACAATAATTATGTTTCACAAGTTCAACATTTCATTTTTCAACCAGTTCAGAGAGTGACTGTGGACACGAACACACACACACACACA